GGCTATTTGTTATATAATTCCCACCTACCTGGTAATCACTTGGTAATTCACTCAGGTGAATACAGGTTCTTTTATGCCAAACTTAATTACTAAGATAACTCTCATATACCACACAGTAAATATATCTGCGCATGTATGGCTTACAGAGAGGATATCAGCTACAGAGGCTGCAACAGAGTTCAAAGGATTCAGGGCTGGGGTGAGCATCTATGTTGCCAAGTCAAGCAGACCAGGGCCAAGAGGAGCTGCCGCTGCCGCTGCCGCTGGTGCTGCTGGGGTCAGGTTTGAGAGCAAGGCTGAACAAGGTTTGGAGTAGGAAAGTCTTCTCTGTCCGAGTTCCTGGCAGGGGAACAGGTGGACAGGCAGGCAGCTGAGGAGGCTGTCTCAAGTGTAGGAAAGTCAGCTGAGTTGGGAGTCTGGGGTCCTTTACACAAGCATCAGGTATCACAGGATAGGCTGGTATAGGGCCATGCTATCAGTGTCGAGTCCATCACTTCCTGGGGGCCAGGTGACGGAGTTATACCCTTCCCAGCATTTGGTGTATCTGTTCCTAGCCTGGTTTCTCTGATACATTTTAGTACACCTATGTACCCCTATAGCTGCAATTCACGCCTATAAACTTACAGACTCCCTTTCTACTTCCAGGAATAGGCCACTCATCAGTCTGTGCTGGAAGGTGGGGTACAGCTATCCTTCTCCTTCAAGATGGAGGCAAAGGCAGCTTGCAAAACGGAGGCTCCTAGGGCATTGAATAGCTTGGAAAGCTACTGGTTTACTCGACTGAAATAACCTGAAGTACGGCATAACCAGATCTCAATGTAAAGTCCACAGGAAGTCTTTACTCCAATATAGGCACCATGATTTTGTTTTGTTTTTCAAGACATGGTTTCTGTGTATCCCTGGCTGTCCTGGAACTCACTTTGTAGATCAGGGTGGCCTGTTGGGGAATGTACTTGGGACTCATACGGTTTAGTAAGATGCCACCGAGTCACATGTCCCAAGTGATTAATTTAAATTGGACAGTCCACATTTCAGTTCTAAGGAACCGAAACTGCTTTCAGGAAGATGCAGTGACACTTTGAAATTCACCTGCATTTTAATGTCACTTTTTGCAAATGTTTAGTCCAAACTTCCAAAACTCTTCCAGTCGTGTTTGCTATTGCAGTTTATCTACATGCACTCAAGGTTTTTCTAACTTGTTCCTGCTTCATCAGGGTGGTATGTAGGGGAAATTTTTTGAGGGGTTCCTCCTGAAGACCAAGAACTAAAGGAAACTAATGACTGCTAGAACTCAACTCTCCCAGGGATGAGTGCCCATACTGCTTATCCAATGAAAAGTGGATGGCCCTGAAATCACATACATGAAATATGAACTCAGCAATTTTATATTATTTGTGAATGCACACACACGCATATGCATGCATGTAACAGTCAAAAAGAGTACTAACTCATGGGAGGTTCAGAAAGGGGGAAAGTGTCAACTAAACACAAATTATAAAGCTTTAACTGTATGAATGTGCTGCCTGCATAACATGTGTACAAGCATGTAATTCTCATGAGGGTGTTGAGTCCCCTGGAACTGGATTTAAAGACAGCGAGATGCCATGTGGGTGCCAGGGACTGAACACTCTATACTGCTGGGCCATCTCTCCAGCCCTTATTTCTGGGGTTTTGCTGTTTTAGGCCACTGTGAATGGGATGGCATCCCCTGATCTTTCTCAGCAAGTACAGAAAAACTAGGACCATCAGTGCATGGTGGCACATACCTTTACCCCAAGTTCAGTGGCCAACCTCTTCTACACTGTGAGACCCTGTCGGGGGGGTCTTTTGAAGGATGTGCTGGCTTCCCCATCAGTACGCTGTACGTTATATTGAGTTGTTTTCTTCAGGGCTTGTCACCATGAAGGGAGGTCACACTTTTTCAAAGGCTTTTTCTTTTTCTGCATTACTGAGATTACTGGACTTTGAGAGGAATCTTAAATGTCTCTATGCTTGTGTCCCTGGGCTGAAACTTACTGGTTCTGGTATTTTGAGCTGTGCATGAGCTCAAGAAGTCCAGAATACTTTTGGCTTTGCTGGAACTGTTAGAAGCCACTCAAAACCTGGGTCATCTGATTCAACTTTTCTTTAATAGGGAATAATTAAAAAAACGTATGTTACATGCTGGTTCAACGTGTTCATAGCACATTCATTACTACATGTTAACCATTCAACCTCTAACATTTCACCTAACTAGTCTAGCGTCTTTCAAACCTGCCTTCAATTTTCACTAATTCTGTTTTATTTTAAACCAATCTGCTTTGAGCGCCACACCCTCTCATGCTGGGACTCGAAGGCATATGGTATAACAGCCTAGCCCTCATTTCAAGGATCTTGCATTCCCACTATAGACTGTCAATGGAAAGTTTATAGTTTTATACATTTATTTTTTATGCATCTATACTTGGCACTGTGGTTAGCACTTACTGCATACTAAATTGAACAAATGAAAAGCTTTTGTGTGAGGGGGAACAGACATTGGGGGTTAGAGGACAACTTGTGGAAATTGGTCCTCTACCATGTCTTTTCTTGTTGGCTTTTTGAGACAGGGTTTCTCTGTAACTTGCTCTACACCAGGCTGGTCTCTTTAACTTGGAGATCTGCCAATCCCTGCCTCCAGTGTGCTGGGATTAAAAGGTGTGCCACCATACCTTTAAGATTAATTAAAATCACAGGTTGACCTCCTGACCCCCTGGGATTACAGACAGGAATTCAGTCAAGATACTTATCACCCAGGCAGCAGTAAAGACACTTTTGACAGATCAAAGGAAAATAGGAAGAAAACTGGAAGTCAGGAAAGCACAGAACTCAGAACTTAGCTGAAACACAAGCATTCATGGGACAGCCTAAAGGAAGGAAGGGAAAAGATCCAAGAAGAGCCAATGGTGCCTCTTCCGCTTCAGTAGCAACAGTGGAGGGGGTGTGGGGAACTCAGTCACACAGTAGCATGTATTCGTCCAGGAGAATAAAGGCATCAAATTTACTTATTTGACTTGTGGCACAAATGCAAATCTCTTATGCTCACTAGTTTAACACTGAAATTCTAACCAACAGTTCTATGCATCATATACAAGCATAGTGTTTGATTTTTTTTCCCCCTAGGGATATCTATTCCACCTACAGGGCTCACGTGATCCTCTTACCTCAGCTACTTTTTAGCTGAGGAATCTAGTCATTCCAGTCCTGGTTTGTTAAACAGAAAACCAGCAAAATATCTTCTAATTTAAGCCCATCCGAGAATATCAGAACATAGCATTTTTCATGCTTACTAGACACCTAGTCAAAACAAGCAAACAAAAAACCCCAAAACAACCAACCAACCAACAAGCCCCCAAAATGACCAGGAGCAGAGATAAGAGTCCCTACCAAGCAAACTTCAATAAAAAAAAAATTGTACAAGACCCCTACTGATTGATGGCTTCAGAGTCAAATCTATAAAGGGCTGTATGTAAACTTCTACTTTCAAATGTTTGTGAAATTCTCTAGTTTTTGGTTGACATCAAGCAACAGAAAACTTTCTGAATGTTACTAGACAATTAAGCAAACTTTTATTGAAGTTTACATTGTGGTACAGAAATAACATTTCAACCGATTAAAAGTCCAACACCAATTAAGAAATTATGGCACCAAAACTTCCCCTCTTGCAATCAAACTAGGATCACTATCCAATCTACAGTTTGTTTTCTAGGCTTCTTTCCACACAAACCTATGCAAACTTCAATATTAGAATTCATAATTCTATAAGATGGGAGAATCAGACCGCAAACCAAGAAAATCTACTGGGTTACAAAGTTAGCTTAAATAAGCACTGGCCCTCCAAATAGCAGTCCAAACATTAGCTGCTGTGCTCACTATGGAACCACATTGATAAAGCTGATTGGAGGCTTCCCCAACGAAGCCTTCAATCAACAGCATGCTTAAAGTAAAAATCCAGAGTGTGTTCCAACCACTTGATTCCAAACCAAGTAGCTTCTATGTTTAGAAACGCTAAAAAAGTGTTTCATTATAAATACAGAAGGAACAAGACATCACTGTATCAGTCCAGAAACACCAAAAAAAAAAAAAAAAAAAAAAAAAAAAAACAGTACAAGGGCAATAAATAGGAAATTTTAGTCCATTCTGCTCTTCTCCCAGCTGTTTATATACCACAATATCTGCAACTGCCACTAACATGCCAACTCTTGAAAGCCTGTGTTTCTGGCCCCAGCCCCACTGACGATCTGTGTGTGCATATACGTTTACTATCTGGACAGTCCTCACTCTGGGCAGCCTTTCATTTGGTCATGTGAACAGCATGGTAAAGGAAGACCACACAGGAAAAGATGAAGTCAGAACAGCTCACATGCATCACACACAAAAATACAACTTCTAAGTCACAGATAGAAATGCCACAGATTCTGTTTTGAATCAAAATTTCCTTTTAGTAGAAACTGATGGCAACAGGTTAAAAGTTGACAGTGCACACTGAGGTCAGAATGTCTAGGATTGACTATCTGCTTGACTTGTTGGACTTACTTCCTTCTGTCACTACTCAACAAGTTAGTGAAGGCATGGCAGGCACTCCATGAGCTAATTCAAGTTCACTGCATAGCCTACTGTTTCCATTGAGTCTTTAATGAGTTCTCCCTGCTAACCCACCCCGGAGAGAAAATGCTTTTCATTTGATACATTCAGTTTTCTCATTTGTCTTCCACAGTTCAAGTCAATAAGAAGACATTATGTCTTAACAACAAAAAAAAAAGGTCAGAGACCATCTCCGAAATCCTCCCACTTGGGGGGATATTTTAAGATCAGTGTAATAGTGTATTGCTTTAATTGGGGGTGGGGTGGGCGTGAATTGAGAGAAGAGGGAAAGACTTTGGTGACAGAAGAAATCAATCACAGGATTATAAATGCAGGAACAACTATTAAAACAATAGAACACAAAACAGTCACTGGAATCAGCATTTTCTTACAAGGACTCAACTTGTGGAAGAAAAACTTTAATTGCCATTGCATAAAACACCTGTATGAAGTAAAAATTGGTTTTGAATAACATTAGTAGAGAATATACTCTAGAAAGTGGAGGTAACTGGAGTAAAAACTCTGGCAGCAATTTAATAGAACAGTCGCAGATGTTCAGTTGAGGCCAGCATCTAATGAGGACGAAAGCCTTGTCTGTGGGGGATTTTGGATGATGCCTGCAGAAATATTACACTGTGCATAAACCAAATTGGATCATTTTCACAAGTGTTGTAGAGATTCATACAGTCAAAGTTCTTTTCTACATGCACTTCAATTCCACAGCAAGAGTGGCGTAGAACACCTAAACACAGAAGAGAGCATTCATGCAAGATATCTAACTCCTTGATAGAATAATGCATACACTTCAAAATGATTACACTATCATTACATCTAGGGCTTTCTGCAACTATAAGGTGGTGGTCATGGAGAACACAGCCCCCAGGATCAAAATCTAAAAAGCAGCCACCACCTCCTGTGTGTCTTCTCTTTTTGCGTTTTTTCTTCTTCATTTTTCTTAATCAACTCTGCTGTTGTTGCTGCTTCTTAGCAAAACTGGTAAAAACAAAATTGTAATCATTGAACATAGCACTCTGGCAATCAAGACGTTTAAATCCTTCAATCTTCTGGGGTGAAGAAAGCACTGTGCGACATTTAGAACTCTGGGGAAAAATGGAAACAAACATGAGTACTTTCAATCTCCAGATTATTTTCAGACAACAGTGATGCTGTGAATAGATGACTACCTCACTCTAACTGCAGCAGCAATAAAAAGATTTATTTATTTTCTTAATGCATTTATTTGTGTATGTAGATGTCATGTGGTGAGACGGGGTTGTATGATTCCTTGCCATCTCTGTGTTTTGTGAGCCAGCTGATGTAGGCGCTGAGATCTGAACTCGGGTCCTCTACTAAGGGTGCTCTTAACTGCTAAGTTTTCTCTCTCCAGTCCCAAATTAAGGCATCTTTTTTCTTGTGGGCTGAAAAGCAGGCTGTCAACAGGGAGCAGTGGTAGAACAGGAGCTTGCTAACTGGGTGCCATATAAAACAAGGATTGCTGAAAAATCTAATGAAGTATGTAAGGTTTCTTTGCCCCAAGTAACCCCAGTGAATGGCACCCAGCTGTCACCCTGTTACACATTCGTGGCAATCCCATTACCTCATTCACCTTGAGGTCTTATCACTCGTAGCTGCCAGATTAGTTGAGCTGGGAAGTATTTGCCTAGCATGTGCAAGATATGGTCAAAAGAGAAAAAGAAAACAGAAGTCAAATTACCTGATTAACAAACAAGGTGGTCACAAATTTTCCTGGCTTGAAGACTTCCACAACCTTCCTAATCAGGTCATCATAGGAGGTCTGACTTAAGTTTGTTTCAAAGCTAACATAAGAGAATTCTGGTTCTGGAGTGATGTGAATAGTCCAATATGTTCCATCCGATTTCATTCCATTCATTGAGTAGCCACAAGGATTGAACAGTGTGGCATCAATGACAAAACCTGGTATCAGGTCACGAATTCCACTCTCACGAGTGACATCCTTTGCAGTAACACCATCTTTCATGTAGAACTGGTCCATAACTGCTGGGTCAAGCTCACTCATCAGAATTTCCAGGGTTTGATCTGGCTGACTGATTACTCGGCTCTCTGGGAAATCCAAAGTATACAAGTACCTAGATAGAAGCAGAACATAACCCACAGACAGTTCAGAATAAGCCTTACATTGGTTCTTTCAAGAAGCCTATGTCCAGGCCAGGCGATGGTGGCGCACGCCTTTAATCCCAGCACTCGGGAGGCAGAGGCAGGTGGATCTCCAAGTTCGGGGCCAGCCTGGTCTACAGAGTGGGTTCCTGGTCAGCTAGGGCCACACAGAGAAAACCCTGTCTCAAAAAACAAAACAAGCCCATGCCTCCCTCTCATAATGGCCACACTTTAAACCTCACAGCAATTGTGGATGCCTGTTAAGATCAAGTCAGTCAACACTCCAGCCTGGAATGGAAGGGGGGAGGGGTGTCACAAGGCCCCAACCTCAATAGAAGCCAGTGACAACTGATGGCTTCCGAGGGAAGAAGAGTCAGCTTTCTTTAAGGGTTCTAAGTGGCTGACCAAACTCCAGTGGATAGCTGCTCAAACACCCAGGAATCCAAACACTCACTCTACCACAGAACCACACCTCCATCCTTTTCCCTTTTTGTCTCACTATATGGTCTTTGCTGGTCTTGTTCCTCTTCCCTCAGCTTCCAGAGCAGCTGGGATTAGGAAGCATAGGCTACCAAAAACTAGCTTAAAAAACACTACTTCCATTTCCTCAAAACCCACACATATGGGCAACAAAACCAAATCAAAATTACATACCAACAGTCAGAATTCATACGTCCCATACAATATGCTGCTCCGTCTGTAAGGAAAGAAGATATTTCTAAAAACTCACTTAACAGGATGGTTCATTATTAGCCATTCAATAAACAGTATTATTTGCCACCTATTAAAAACATCAGTGAAGAGAAATTAAAGTGGGTGAATTCCTAGAATGCCGTTTTAAAGGTCTGCTGTATGAGCTGCTGGCACCACATGGCATCATCACCATGCCAACACCAGGAACCAAATCCGGGTCCTTGGTAAGAGCAGCAACTGCTCACACCACCCAGCTCCTCCCCTTTGCTCTTAAACACCCTTTTTTGGGGGAAGGGGGGCTGCCACTGATACTCTTGAAATATAAATGGTTGAGACAACTAAGAGAAAACTTTACCCTCTTCCTAAACTCCCACAGGGCAGGGAATTGGCTACTTTCCTAGTCTTCTAATCAAGGTAAGCTGTTTTACTTACATATCCTTCCCAAATTGTTTCAAAATTTCCCTTAGCACAGTAAACCAACTTGGAAATGACACCAAGTAAATACCCACCACACTCTGGCAGCACGTAGTGTCTGAGGTCATAAATTACTGGCAAATGTCTGAAGTCTTTTTAATTTCTTGAAGTGTTGAAGATCAAATTCAGGGCCTCATACACGCTAAGTATGCGTTCACCACTATTTGTGAGCTACACATACCTTACCCTTAGGTTTTCACCTTTAAAGCCATTCCTGTAAGTGATTTTGCAAAGTTATTAAGACGTCTTAGGTTCAGCGCCATCTACCTCATTTTTTGGGATATTGGCCCTAAAGTCTGCAGACTAGGCTAGGCTGTGAGCCATAGAACCTACCAGTCTCTGCGTCTACAGTACCAGCACTACAAACTCATTCGACCACACCACCTGGTTGGGCCTGTCCTTATTTTAAATGTAGATCAAATTTGGGTCCTTGTATAGCAAGCAACTTACAATTGTACTCTCTCCCTAGTCTTTGAAACAAGTTCTCACTATCTGGCCCAGACTAGCCTTGAATGTTGAGGCTCAAGGGATCCTTCAGTCTAGTTAGTAACCAGGGAACAGGTACAAGCCCCCTTGCCTTGCTTCCCATGACATTCTGTCCACCTTAACAGCACTGACATTATTTTACAAGTGCACAATACAACTTGTAAACCCACAACCAAAATTTGTGTGAGATCTTTAACATCCAGGTAAAGAAAAACAAAGCATAGAATATAGTGCTACCCCCCACCCGCCCTGTAGCAAATAATTCAAACAATCCCTGGAGTTCCAGTCCAGCCCCAGACCTCAAAGATCGCGAGACCCTGCTTCAGAGATCACAACAAAACACCCATGCATCTTTAAATAGTTGCATCCCCAATTTTAAAAGACAAGAATTACTACATTCTATTTTTACTTACTTGGGAAAATTGCATTAAGAAACTCGATTTCTTCCTGGAAATTCCGGTGTGGGTACCCTTGGTGAGAAGGCTTCATGAAATTCTTACGAGAATAAAAGAAGCTCTTAAAAGAAAGAAGAGAGATCTTTAAAATTTTTCCCCTAAATCAATTTTCTACATATAGAAAAGACAAGAAAATAAAAATGTTACAAATATTCCAACTGAAGCACAAATTAGCGACCAGAATGACATTAAAATGCATACTTTCACTACTGCAATGTATTTTTTAAAAAGATTTATTTATTTATTATGTATACAACATTCCTTCCACGTATGTTTGTATGCCAGAAGAAGGCACCAGATCTCATTATAGATGGTTGTGAGCCACCATGTGGTTGCTGGGAATTGAACTCAGGACCTTTGGAGGAGCAGGCAATGCTCTTAACCACTGAGCCATCTCTCCAGCCCCCTGTAATGTACTTTTTAAGCTGGAATGGAAAACAGATCTCAATTCAGACTTACATGGAAAGTGTTTTATAATAGTCAACACTAAGTGCCCATGTTTTAGATTTCTTACAAGGATAGTTGAGTAATTATTCATAACTATACTAGTGGTGCAGGTATGCTGGTTCACAGCTTCAATCTTTGCACCAAGGACACTAAAGCAAGAGTGTAAGTTTGAGACCAGCCAGGGCTCCAAAACCAGACCCCCTCACTTCCACTCCCCAAAATAGGCTAAGTGCAGTAATGTGCACTTACTAATGAATTCCAGAAGAAAAGCAAGAGAACTGAGTTTGAGACAAGCTTAGGGTATGCCCCAAAACACCATTAGCAGGGCAGGTAGTATAGTTTAGTGACAGAAAATTGGATTAGCACCATGTGAAGCCTAGGGTTCAGTCCCAACCACAGGTACAAAGAAACCAATTCTGACATTTCAATAACATTCCTTTCTTTGAGGTAAGATACTGAAATTCAACCAAAACAAAAACCATTATCAGTTTTAAACATGTCCAGCACTTACTTGAATTGAGTCAAACCCACTGTAATCCCTAGCAAGCTTCAACAGGGGAACCAGTGCTTTCAGTAAGAGGGTGGTACCACATGTCTTCAAAATGAAACGTCTCTTGGAGACAAACATGCTACTCTCACTGCAACAGAAAGGCAAGTGATCATTACCCCAGCACGTATTACTGAGAATACAATTAGTGTAATGTACATCAATATTTGTAATTTTTACATCACCATTGGATATACTTTATATGTACTCATCACCAAAACCTAATAATCAACAACAAAATTAGAACTAGAAAATTAGCTCTATATCCTTTTATAGTTCATGTCTATAACCTACATTCAGTCATTCCTCATTCTACACATACACGTTAATTCTGAACATGTGGAGTACATGCATTTACCCTGAGATTGTGTGATTTTATTTTCCTTTAGAGTGAATAGAATTCAGTTTTTATTTCCCATTCACTCTTATGTCTGGATACCACACACAACAGCCTAACCAAGTAGGGCTGGTAAGAGTTGTATGCTTACCACTCTTTACTAAATACATACTTTTACCTCCCCTTGGACACGACTGCTCTCGCATGATTTTTCACTTAACTAAATAACAAGCCTTTTGAGTAAATCAATTCTTTTGTACAACATTATATTTTGACAAACATCTGCGTATGCCAAACACATACTTAAGTTTTAAAAAAGATATTATGTATATTTATTGCAAGGCCCAAGGTTTACAATATAAACTATTCAAAGCATTTATTGGTTAAACCAACCTTGTACCTAATTTTCCTTCATCCAACAGATGTGGGTACCATGACAGCTAGGTTAAGGCAAGGCTTTAAAAAAAAAACCGATCTAGAAACAAAAAAATTATATTTCACCCCAGATTCTTAAAATGGAAAACAGATTCTGGTAGAAGAGTGGTATTTCATAAAGACTATGATCAGGACAGCAACTCAACACCCACAGCACTTACCTGAGTACATAAGCTTCCTGCTTGTCAGTCTTTGTCACACTTATGATTGAGCATTGCACATCCTTCAAAAGGACATCCCACTCAGATCTGTTAATGCAATGAAACTCACAATTAACAACAGTACTATTTCTACCAAATTTTACTCTTTAAGACCTTACTCCTCCATTGTTAGAGATGGAACCTGGTCCATGAGAGGTAAGTACTCTACCACTGAGTTATATTTCTAGGCTCTTAGGAATTTTAAACAGAAAATGTGACACAGCAACTAAGACCATTTAATCTATATTTGAGATAGCCTGGAATTCGTGTAGCCTGGCCTCCAAGAGATCTGCCATGCCTCTGATCTGAGCAAGCACTGTAATTAAAGTGTGCCCCCGCACTGACCATTTCACTTTCTGTTCTAACTTAAAAGCCAAAAGGGCTCACCTGATCTGGGAACTGGAGCTACAGATAGCTACAGATGATTCTGTTCTAAACTGGGAACCCAATCCATATCCTCTGGGAGGGCAGTCACCACTCTTTATCATGGGGTCCTCTCTCCAGCTCTCCATTACTATTAGAAGCAAAGAGTGTGTATTTCTTTTTTTAAAAACCATGCTCTTTTTCTTTTGAGACCGGGTTTCTCTGTGTAGCCCGGGCTAGCTTTGGACTTGGGAGATCCACCAGCCTCTGTCTCAAGTGCTGGGATTAAAGGCGTGTGCTACCATCACCCAGCTTTTTTTTTCTTCAGTATCTTAACAGTTACTTCAATACTTACATTCTAGACCTTATACTTCCTTGCTGGGATTTGAGTTGTTCTTTGCACAGGGTACAAACATCCTTGGCCTTTACCTACTCCCACCCCCAAGCTATGCCAAACAAAACATCTCCAAATATTGCCAAATGTCTCCTGGTAACAATTGTCCCCAAATAAGAAACACTGACCTAAGTCAATGAGAAAGTATCCTTTAAAAACAAAAATTATATACAAGAATGTATCTGATTTACGTATGTTTTTACTAAGCTTTGATAATTTAATCATTTCCAACCACTAAACTAGTATGTGATCCTAATAGGTTGGTTTTGTTGGCTACCAATTTGAATCCCATGCTTAAAATCCGCACCATCAAGACTTACAAATAGACCAATTTGGTAAAAGTTAATACAGGCTAGTAATCTTGGTGCAGAATTAGGAATAAAGCACATATCTTAACCATTATTACTAATTACACTATCTAAACAGATAAATACCTAACTCAGAAATGCCTTAGCTAACTATAAAGTCCCACTGTCTTCACATCATGTGGACAGCAATAAAACCTTTCCTCTTTAAAAAACAAAGAAACAAATAAACCTGTCAGCACACCTTCCTATAAAGCTAGCAGGTAATTATTCTAAGGTGTCAAGGTGGGTTTTTTTTTTTTTTTTTTTTTGATTTTTCGAGACAGGGTCTCTCCGTAGCTTTTTTTGGTTCCTGTCCTGGAACTAGCTCTTCTAGACCAGGCTGGCCTCGGAACTCACAGAGATCCGCCTGCCTCTGCCTCCGAGTGCTGGGATTTAAAGGCACCACCGCCCGGCAGACAATGTGTTCTTAAACCACTTAGTTCTGCCCTTTTCAGCAAAAATTACCATAGATGTTAATTAATAGACTGTTAGAGGTTCCAACAAGGCATTATTTACAAAAAGTGTATCTTTCCACATTTCTTATTTTGGGCCTTTGGCCGTAAATGTATGCACCTTCATAAATCATTTGGTTGCTAAGCCACTGACTTAAGAGTTTTAAGTCAGTGCTTCCCTTTATCCCATGATAGAAGAAAAACTACTGACTACTCTGAACATCACCATTGGTTGAAGAAGCATGACTGGCTGCTACTAAGATGGAGGAAACAAACACCATATAGTTATCTCTTACTAAATAGAACTTAACTGTCTAGTTAAAAGCTGTGTGCTGCTTGGCACCTGTGAATATGCTTATAACCTAGCAATGGAGAGGCTAAGGCAGCTCCAGGCCAGCCTGAACTGTACAGCTGTCTGGAAACAAAAATAATCATATAAACTAATCACAAGATGATATTAAGCGTCTCGTAGTACTAAGGCTGAATGAATTCCAATCCCAGCCCTCCTCAAAGTGAAAGTGAGCAGCAATTACGGAACCATATAGATCCCCCTTCCCACACACAGGAAAGTTAGTTAGCTCTAGAATACTCCCAGCATAATTTATAATAGCCTAAAAAAGGAAACCCTATCAAAAGAGCACATTAACATTAAACAGCCACAAATACTCTATCAAAGTCAACACCACACAGTTAAAAAGGCAGAAGGGAAGCTGGAGAGATGGCTTAGTGGTTAAGAGTACTGCCTACTCTTATAGAGGACCTGGGTTTGATTCTCAACTCTCACATGGAGGCCTTTATTTCTTACTCTACCACATCGCTATTCTTTATCATTTTTATACTGCAGTAGGTATACATAAGCTACAGACTATTTTTTTTTTTTTTTT